GCAATTTTCATTGGTAAACTCGCTGAACATTATACATGTCATGTTTGGGCCACTAGTGTGGGATCCAGGTGATGGAAAGGTCCACCTTTGCAAAATATCAATATGGATGGATGATTGGTTCCCACAACATTATTTTCATTGGAGGTAAATTTTGTGGAGCAATAAGCTGAAATTCAATGTTGGAGTGAAAAGTGAGTTGTCCTTTTTGATCAACCTTATAGCAGCCACTAGCAAGGAAGGTATCTATGCTGCTGGTGAACCTGAATATTTACTTTTGGGGCTATCTTTTGTTGAAATGGAAAGAAAGGGCAACTGCTACTTAAGTTGGAGTCACTTACTTCTTGCAAGAGTGATGGTTGTGGAGCTGAGCAGTACTGGGCAATTTGGTTCTGTGAACTTTTCCTTCAAAGGAAAACATGTTGACAAGCTCAGACTATTTGTCATGCCACCTTGGCTGCCATTAGTTTGTTTGCTGGAAGTTAGAGAAGGGAAATGTTGCACTACTGATTCTGCTGCAAGTATAATTCCATGGAATGAGCAAAAGAAAATGATGATTACTGAAACTTGCACTTGCTTTGAGCAAAAAATGCAGAAGTTTTGGGATCTAACTTTCCAGGTCAGTTTGACATCACTTGCTAGCAAGGAAAGCAATCTAGTTATTTTGTGATCCTAAATCATTATCTGTTTGGTTATCATCTGTTGATCTTCAGGGGATGTTGCTCAACTACTACCAAACTAGAGTGGAGAAATGGAATATGAGAATAATTTGCATGGTGATATCAGAATCTGATCATGTTTGGAATCAAATTACATTGGTTTGAATGTTGAAAGATATTTGCTATATGTGATTGCTGATGAAAAAGGCTGCAAAAGGGTGAAAGAAATGGAAGAAGTTGCATTAATTCAATTCATGATGAGAAGTATACTTTTGGGTTAGTTCCTACAGTGGTGTTGATCAAGCGAGGTTGTCACTCTTTGCAGCATATCAAATTGTTGGGAATCAATGTTGGCAAGCGATTCGTAACAGTGCCATTGTCATGCATCACCCAGGTGTACTTTACATGGAGTAAGCAGTTATTCAAGCTAAAGCTACTTGCTCTATTCTTCTTCAATGATGGTTCATTGTCTAACACCAAATATTTGGAGCAACCATGGGATTCGAGAGGTGTTTTCCATCGGCTTGTGGACAAGCCAAATTTCAAGAAGAGGGGATTGTCAGGATCCCGGGTGGGCCGCACACAGGCTGGTCAGCCCATCGCCATGAGGCCCAAGCAAACGGAAGGGAGCAGCATATAAGCAGCAGCATCGACAACACCAGGGGGCATCGAAAGATCGTTTGGACTTGGCAGAGCTGAAGCTCCTGGCGGCGGCGGCGACTTGGGTGGCCGGTGGGCACCCTCGTCGATCTCTCTCCCCTACCTCTCCTCCGATCTCCAGCCTTCCCTCCCCCCTCGGTTCTAGAAGTTTCCAGCACTTGTATTCCATAGCTTCTTCTCTTGTCCCCAAAACAGTTGTTGCTTCTATGGTGGATGCTTGTTGTTGAGTTGGAAGTAGTGGGTTCCTAACAATGTATAACAGAGAATGTTTCTTTAGAACACTCACTTCTATATATGTATAGATCTTTTAAAATTTCCAATTATGATATTTCCAAAGAGAATGACCATATATGCAATGTAATAGAAAAAAAATGATTCTGCAGCCTACCAAGTAATGCAAATGGACATGGCGAGCTTGTGCACTGTGGAGAAGTGCAGCCCCGTATGTCCACGTCATCACCCTAACTGGTGCTGGCGAGCACTCATGCCTTGGCCTGGCCCTCATGTCTGCGCCACTTTGGGTGCCAGTGCACCAGCGATTGCCACCATGGAGAAGTGCTTCTCCAACGGCTTTGGCCTGCCTGTGCGCGCATGCGCCAGTCGAGCTGCACGCCTCTATAGGCGGTGCCCCTCGGGACCTCGTTGCCGACCTCGTCGCTCTCCCGATGCCAACTGTTGCCGCCGTCACCTGCCACACGTTCGCAATCGCGCATGACGCGGTGGACATGAGCGCCATGTTGGTATTTCTTAGTAACACTACTGGAAATATAATTCCCAGCAATAGCACTAGAAATAATCCTGATATATTATGGTTACAAATATGATCCGCAAACGCACGGATATACCATTGTATCATTTCACCCAGGAGTATTCCAAGATATCGTATTTATTTTATCCCAAGGAAATATATGATAAAAGAGTACTATGCTAATAGTTTATGTATTACCTGTATACATTAAGGTCTATGCAGGGGTAAGTTAAGCTTAAGGGTAGAGTGACACACAGCTAAGGATTCCGCTAACTCCTCCTTATCCTAAATATGAATAAGTGGAAATAGAATAGAAATGTCTCACTCATGTACTTCTAGTATACAACATCCTAGTCTATTCTAGCTAGTATACTCTATGTAGTATATTCCCTTTAACAATGCAGCATAGCTAAGCCAGAACTCAGCTATGCCCTCCCGATATGATGCATCGCAAAGTTACCCTAGGTTGACGAGTTTCTTACGACAACCTATCATAACCCTCAAACCAAAGTAGGATACAAAGGTGTATCCAACCCCAGGAAATTGTACGTAGAAATATAAACTGTGGGGAAGACGCACGTACTAAGCTGTCACCATCAGCGGCCTGCTACTCTCCCGGCGAATATACCCCAAAATAATGATAAGTGATAACCTAAACCCCATGCTTAAGTTACTACTTATTACTCTACAGCCTTGCAATCGGTGTAGAGCATCTGAGTCCCCGGGGCATAGTTCTCAGCCTAGCCAGAGCAGACTTATGACCTGGTAATCAGACATTATACCAGCATCAATGCAAATCCCAGAAGGTTTAACTACTAAGATTATACTGATTATAAATAAACTAAGAATGGTACTCATATTCTATGATTGGAATAAAGTACCGAACTTGTATAAAGAAGAAATATTATATTAATAAAAAGGAAGTCTTATAAAAGAAGAAAGGAAAAGCTAAGAACTTTACCGAACTTCCTAAAGCTTCCGCAACTCGGAACTACTATAATTCTATTCCACTAGTACTATACTAATTCTAACTTTGGAGAAATGGAGCTTCAATCCTTACTTGAGCTTGTGTTGAAAGTGAAGGAGGTGAGGTCCTTTTATAGCTCCCAATGACGGTTGTAGAGCATGGGAATTGTCAGAAATGCCCTGCAACCGCCATCAGGAGTTAATCCGGAGCGTCCACGCCAAAGGGGAGAGCCAACGGCTAAGATCAGGGTTCGGCCGAACCCTAGACTGGCCCAACAGGCCTGGTTTCTGGCCTGCTGCTTCCTCCTCGGCCTCCATTATCTCCTGGCCAAAATGCGGCTGGATTGGGCTAAACAAGGGGTCGGCCGACCCCATATGGGCTCTTTTGGCCCCCAGCTTCCTCCAGGAGACTTCCATGTGGGCCCCTAAATCAGTGACATACATTCTAAGCCCATTTGTGATTGTTAAATTGGACTTTTGGGTCTTCTCATGCAATTGCATATCACCGGCAGACTTTCGACAGATTGATCGATATATTTCCACCTCCTTCTCTTCATTTATGAGTGCTTCTCCTGCATACATGTTAGTAGCATAGCATATAGTGGAAGTAATTATTTTATTTGGGAATTATGCATTGCAAGCATAGGTAGTCTTCGTATATTGGATAATATTGACGGTCGAAACTGGTCGACAACGACCGCTTGTTCTTGTACATAAGCGAGGTTGACACCGGCCTCAACATCATCGACGTCTTCGCCAAGCTAATCCGACAGAAGTTCACCGACACCATGAACAGGAGGGAGCTACTCCTCCAGAGCGACAAGAAGACAGTTGCGGAGGCCTTCTGGCGGGGCATCGTGGATGGAGGGGTCGATGACATGGTCCCCGCGGAAACGATGAGGACTCCATGGCGTAGTGGCGGCCTTTTACCTCACACGCAGGGGTACACACATGAGGAGCAGCAGCATGATTGCGCAGCGTTGGCCGTGGAGCCCTCGCGGCGGAGCGGTGTAGCACTGAGGACGGGGCAGCGGGGCACACGTGCGTGGCCTATGACCTTACGCACAGCAGGGGGCGTGTGAGAACTGAGAGGAGCGTCGGAAGAAGACCGGAAGAAGGGAGAAACACAAGCACAAAACTATTGTTTTATGTGGTTTCTCTCTCATCAATTGGGTTGATATTATATTGGCAGGGCCAGAAAGTTTTACAATATAGAACAGAGGGAATAAAAAAAATTGATAGATGGAAAATAAATTGGTAAAAATTAGTAGATGGGAAAAAAGTAGCACTAAGTTGATAGGTTGGGTATAAAATATCGTCGCGGATCACAAAATATATATCTTACATTTGGGACAGATTTAAAGGGCAAAATCATTTATATTATGGGACGGAGAGAGTAGTTATATAGCTGAATTTTGCTTCTGGCCTGTGGTGCAGTTGCTTCCAAAATAATAATTCTCTCCGTCTAACAATATATTTGGAGCTTTTTTTCTGGATATTAACAATGAGTATCTGAATAAAGAGTTATTATTGAATGAGATGAGTAGTTATGTGAGAAAATTAAACGAGCAGTAGTAGTTGTGATTGGTTAAGATAAATAGATTGTTGTAGATATTCGTATATTATATTAAATAAATTTTAAACTATATATCATTATATTTCTAGACCTAATGATTAACCAAGGAAAAATGCAAGGATTTGACAAAAATATAGAAGCCAATGCTAGGCGCCTAAGTGAATGGATATGAAACAAAAAGCGAGCAGGCTGTCTATATATGGACAATTAGTTGCATTAATATAGTAGTTTATAATTGCAAGCATGGCACTACATCACAACACCTAAAAGACATGCCGTGATGCTAGAACAGCCATTGAATAAATTAGAAAGAAAGGTTGTGGTTAATTAGTTAACGACCAATCGAGCCTACTAGTATAAATTGTACCTCGTTGTTATGAAGTAATTCATCCTGTAGTAACGAAACAAGCAGAGAGAGAGAGAGGCGGAGAGATAAATAATATACAGAAATGAGCAGGTCGAGCTCGAGCATGGCCACCGTCCTCGTGGTGTTGATGGTCGTCAGCGCCGGCGGCTTATCCCCACCATGTGCGGCCGCTGCGAAGGAGGAGAAGCCAGTGGTGGTGCTGCCACCAGCGGCGGCGCCAGGGGAGGCGCCCTCCGCGGACGCGGCAGCGTTCGTCCGCTCCTGCTGCGACACCGCCCTGCAGGCCGACCGCGACGGCTCCAGCTTCTGCTACTACCATCTCCTCCCCTACGCTGCCTTCTTCGAGGGCAACCAGGTGAAGGTCGCCGAGGTGGCCGCCACCATCCTGAGCACCAACCTCTGGGTCTACGTCGACCAATTGCGCAAGGTCCAGGGAGGGGCCGGCAAGGGGGACCCGAACCTGAACGCCTGCGTCGATGACTTCAGCGTAGCCGCCGGCGAGAACATCACCAGGGAGGCGCTGCAGAGCCTCGGCCGCCTCGCCGCCGCCGGAAATGGCAAGCGCAGCAAGGAGGATCTGGAGAATGCGCAAAAGTGGATCAAAGGGGTGGAGAAACCCTACAACGGTGGGATCGGGAAAGCATCCGGTTGCGAGATAGGTTACCTGTTCACTTATAGCGATGATCTCCCCGCCCAGAAAACCCTTGGATATACTTTCGACACAGCTAGCTCCCTCATCAATCACATAAAGCTTTAATAATCTAGCTATATATATAGCCTTCCATGCATGCTCTCTAGCTACCTACTAAGTGGAAGTACATTATTTTATTTATTATACTTGTTGTTAATTCCCATGATCGATTAGTGGTGTTGTCCACGATTTTTGGTAACATTGTTTTTCTCAATTTTCTATTTCATATATTCCCAACTCTCAATTCTACATTATATATCATTTTTTCATTCAACTTCATACATACAATTCCTCAGTTCTTTCTTATATATAGGCCTTACGCTAAATTTTTTTTTGGATACACACCACCGTCGATTATATCGTGCATACTTTTGTATTTCAATTAATTAATTGTGACACTTGCTTCCCACACATTGATCGCATGCACGCCACATTTGTAACATTGTTATCAAATTTCGGAAATAAATTTATCTATCGTGTGAATTATTTCAGCTTGCATGAATCTTTCTTTTTATTTTAAGCAATCTTTTTCTGGTCAAAACAAACTACACAAAAAAATGACAACCAAAATATGTTGATATATTATTAGGAGTATCCTGATTCACACCAATGCTAAAACAAAAACATAAAATTACAATAGAAAAATGTAAGTAAACATCAAGGCTAGAGCTAGGCATTTAATGCTAAAAATAAATGTCAATGTGTAGCTGTGTGAACCAAAATAGAAAAGAGAAAACAGATAGTTAGTTATTGATCGTCCTTGTTCCTGTAGAGAAACTTGTGGAGAGTATGCGAACCGGGTACCGACACGGCCTCCATATTCGACTAGAGATAGGAGTGGGCCGGATCCATCTATTATGTACTAGAGTGGGCTGTATGGCTTGTTTTCTACTTTGTAACCCTGCCCCCCAACCTATATAAGGCGGGCAATGAGCCTCTACAAGGGCATTAGCACGGATAACCACAATCAGATCATCAGATCAATATACACCTGGCGGATACAAATCCCCAAACAGGTGTAGGGTTTTACCTCTCATCGAGAGGGCCTGAACCTGTCTAAATTCTTGTCTTCGCATCCATCCACTTTTATGTCTCGTGCGATACCCTTTTTCATGTTTCCGAATTCCAGTTTAAACAGTTGGTGCGACAGGTAGGGGAAGCGTCGAATTATCCATCAAGAAGTGCGATGGAAACAACTTCCGGAATCAAAGGCATTGTTTTTGCTCGAGGGCAATCTCAATGAGATCGATGATTCCAATCTCTGACGTCGATTGGTTTGTCGTTTCAATCTATATGAAATCTTTTTTGACCTGAAATACTGCCAGGGCTTTGCCGAGCAGTGTAATTTTATATAACTCAAAAAATATTTACAAAGTTACAGTCGAAGGAACTAAATAAAACTATAAAGCTTGCAACCAATCAAAAACAATTTGCTTTAAGGGATCCTTCATTCTGCACATATACAGAAGAACTTCTTTCACAATCTATATAATATTATTAGCTTGATTTATAATCATGGATTGATCTGTCGTACGATGTCTTCTTTGCATGCATGTACGGGTGGCTGATGAGGTCCATGGGCCGCCGAACCAGCACGTCTGCCCGGGAGGGAAAGCGAAGTCGGTGATGCCCGGAACGAATCCCATCGCACTAGTCGGCGAAAAACATGGTGCAACCCCTACCTGACGCGCCAACTGTCAAAACAAGATTCTGGCAATACTAAAAGGGGTAGCAATCAAGCTGGAAAAGTGGATAGGTTAGGACGTAGGAGGCAAAGGTTTATACAGCGGGGGAATTATTCCACCGAGTGTATTATTGATCTGATGATCTGGGAGAAAAGTTATGCCCCTAGGTACACTTGGACCCGACCTTATATAGGGGGAGGAGCCAAGATTACAATGTACAGCCCATATGGCTTACGTACTAGGCTAACGAATATGTATTACAACTGTAACTAACTAGGACTACTGGATATTTCCTTGACATACAAGTTAACATAATTCCCGAGTCCTTTCCTAAACATATTCTATATTCTATCTGTACAACCTATCCCCTATAACCAGTCGGATATACGTGCCATGTGGGTATGTGGTACCCAACTACCCATAATCTCCACTCTGCGTGTAAGATGGATCCCTTCATTTGTAGGAGTCAAGTCCCTATCTTTCTTCTTGTGATTTCTTCCAGCGGTCTTTGTCACATCCTGATTTTCGTATTAGGATTTATAAATTATTTAATAAATTATTATTAAAATTTATATTAAATGTACATTAATTAACAAGTGAAGTTAAATGTGGGAAATAAAATTTCCTAAATATAAAGCATGGATGGATTTATTTTTTATTAAATTCTACATGGTTAATTATACTCTCTGAAATTTTCTCGGATTTTTTAGAGCTCAATTACTAATTTTAATAATACAAAGAACAGTTTAGGAATTATTTAAATATTAAATTAGTCATTAAATGATCTTATCTTAAGTTTGTTAAATACTCTAAGTGTCCAAGCAGTTGCGAGATTTTTCTTGAACATATTTCAGTATTTGAAGTATTTTTAACAATTCAAAGATCATTTCAGTGATTAATTTAGTTAGAAAAGTAATTAAAATCCTTTCCAAAGCTCAAGTCTTAAATCTGGCCCATCTCTCTCCTTCAGCCCAGCCGTTCCAGCAGCCTCTTTCCTCTGTCGAAGTCTGCGTTGGGCCTGTTTGGGGGAGCTTTAGATTCTGAGAAGCAGCTGTTTGGTTGCCAGCTTCTGAGAATCTGGAAAAGCTCTGAAACCCAGCTTCTCCAGCTTTTGGCTTCTTAGTTCATTTTTCAGAATCTGTAACTACAGATTCTCAGAAGCTGTGGACTGTTTGAGGCAGCTTCTAACAGAAGCAGCTTTTGGGAAAAGTTGCAGCTGGGAAAAGCTCCCCTAAACCGGGCATTTGCTTCCCTCTTTAATCAGGCCTTGGAAGATGAAGCCCAGCTGAAAGTCTATACTTTTTCCCTCCAGCTACAGTGTCGTCTTCCAGCTCCAGATAGAGCCCGTGCAGCTGCCGAGACGCTGCCGTTTCCTCTGCCCGATTCGCTCGATTCTCTCAGCCGTTTCTCGAATTGGTTCTCTTCCGTTTCCCTAGACTTTATCCCTTTTAATTCGACACGGAATCGAGCTCGGATTGAGTTTATCTCTGCAAAAACAAACCCTAATTTTCCTTCAACGAATCCATCCGTTCCCGAGCCGATCTCTCTTTCCCATGCCTATAAATAGTGTCCCCTCCGTCTCCTCTTTCGGCCGCCACCTCTCCCTCTCTCCGCCATCGCTTGTAGCGCCGCCGCCGCGTTCGCCTTCTCTGTCTACCGCTGGCCGCCGCTCTAGCCGCATCTCGCCGTTGCCCTGGCCATCCTCGGTCTTAGCTGCTTCCTTCCTCGGCTCCGTAAGGTCAAGAGCAAGCCCGGCAGCCATCTTCCCGAAGCCGAAACCCGTTGGAATCCCCTCATCGACGTGAAGCCGATCTACTCCACCTCCGGTCGAGCCCCGTCGATGACTCCGTGGTGGTCGGTTTTCGCCGTTCCCTTCCTCAGCATCGCAGCACCAAGCTGAAGCCCGGCCACCAGTTTTCCTTCGCCGAAGATCGCCAAAATGTCGCCGTCACCGTGGACCAGTACTTCGCCGCCTTTTTGGAGCTCGTCGCCGGCCGTTTTCGTCGTCGTCCTCCGCCGCGCTGCCCGCTTGGTGAGTTCCCCGCGTCGTGCTCGTCGCGATGGTGCCCTCGGTTTGTGCCGCTGCGCCCTAGATCACCGGCTACCAAAGGAGTCCGAGCCACCGCCGGTCATGACGTCATCAGTGATGTCATAAAGCCCTTTTCCTTTCTAACATAAATCATTAATCCTTTTCTGTTCAAGGCTAAAATCAGATTATTCTTACAAAATTCATAAATCGGATTAATGTGATTTAAGTTGTAAAAGTTGCATAAAATAAAGATCTATATATTAAAAATGTATATAAATTGTGTTATAAATTTATTTAATTTATTTAATAGGTTTAATTGGAATTAATCTTGTAAAATTCATATCTAATTCATATGAAGTCGGAATTAAGTGGTTCAAGTCTCTAAATTCATCTAAAATCATGATCTACATGTTTGTTTATTTTTATGTACTGTTTCTTCAGATTTTCTTAGTCTTTTCTTCGTTTTGCGTGTTAGCTTGTCGTTTCCGTCGTTGCGAAGGTTCGTGAGTGCGTCAGAAGTGTTCAAGAAGACTAATTGAAGACCGATTATTGTAAGGCAAGTCACACAGATCACAAATAACCCTTTCAGCATGTTGAACCGTTTAAAGCTATTGTTTTATTTCAACTTATACATTATTTTCGAATGTCATCGGTGGATTGTGTTGTATGAGGGGTACTGTCACAGTCCCGTTTCGAGATACCGTGGTGGTACTGAGGGCATGGTAACATGTTTTGGGGTTGTGTCTTGTGGTTACAGTGGTACATCTCTGGCCAGGGTAAAACTATTCGAATAGCCGTGCCTGCGGTCATGAGTGGGTTGAACAATGTTTTTCGTGATTAGTCTCACACTTCTAACAATAATTATTGATGCTATAACCGGTAATAATTTGCTTAGCTCCTGATTTGGAGTTAGATCTGTACACCTGACTATGATTGTTCAGGATGGTTGGGCCTGTGCAGCATGGGTGTGCTGTTCAGTGTTGATTAATATTGATGATTAATTACTCTATTGTTTTGCTACTCCTAAAAGTTTGCTAAATGCTACTTTTGCAAATGAGCTTATATCATGCCGTCCTTCGGAATCCTTGTGCACTTGTATATTTGCTGTGTGGCTTGCGCAGTATTCCATGTACTCATCTTGCAATAATCAATCAACCTCAGTTGAAGAAAAATGATCCAGAAGGAGAGGACGTTTGGCTTATACCCCAGTTGAGCTGCCTGTGGGAGTGGAGCCGGAGCTTCGTTAGTCTGTAATTCCGCTACTGTTTTTCTTTTATTTTGTAAGTATGTAACGATATTATTATAATAGATTTGTATATTAAATTGTCAGTTTTTTACCTCGGCTGATTCCTGGATGAGGATTTTATGCACAAATAAGTTTAGAAATTACCAGTGAATTTCCGGGCGTGACAGTCTCGCTGCTCCTTTTTATCTTCTGATTCCATCCAGTTGTGTTACCACACGACAGGATATGGACCTGTTCTGAAACAACAGTTTCGCTGTATAATTTAATTCGTTACTCCTCTCTATAAAACGAATAGATCAATGGGTGCACCTTTTTTTGCATATCCTACACAACCTGTTGTATTTGTGTTTGATCTGAGTGAACTAATTTGATTCCTCTCTATGATCTAAATAAGAATGAAATGGTCATCTCTGCTCATGATGAATGGGTTTACAGTATCTTCCTACTTCCCCCATCTTAATCGAATTGCTTGACTTATGGCCTCTTCTTGCACCTAATCCACAATGAATGTATAAGAGAGAATGTTTCTTT